ATTGTTCGTAATCTTCATGATTTTGTTTCATTATTTTTTTTTTTTCGGTGAACCATCATTAAGGGGTGAATGCCCTGAAGGCATGAAAGCACCCCCCCCACCCTATGCCTCCCACTGTTAAGTGCTAAGGATCCTGAACGATCCTGAAGGAGTGAATGGCATGAAGGCTTGAAAGCACCCCTCCCCACCGTATGGCTCCCGCTGTTAAGCTTGAGGATCCTGAACGATCCTGAAGGGGTAAATGTTCTGAAGGCCTGAAAGCACCCCCCCCACCGTATGACTCCCGCTGTTAAGCTTGAGGATCCTGAACGATCCCAAAGGGGTAAATACCCTGAAGGCCTGAAATCACCCCCACCCACTGTATGACTCCGACTGTTAAGGTTGGTGATCCAGAACGATCCTGAAGGGGTAAATGCATTCAAAGGTCTGAAAGGAACACTCATCCCCACCTTTCGTTTCCACTGTTGTGTCGTTTTGACATCCTGAACAATATGAACGATCCTGAAGGGGTGAATGTCCTAAAGGGCCTGAAAGCACCCCCCCCCCTTCCTATGGCTCCCACTGTAGAGCTTTATAGGCATCCTGAATTCACCTCTTTAGGCATCCTGAAAAAAAAAACATGTTGTTAACATTTTCTCCAATGGGGGATTGTATTGGGTTTTGCCTTGTGTAGGTTTGTGCAGGTAAGTAAAGGCTAGGGATGCCTTGAGCGGGATAGGGTCGGGAGAGACCGGGCGACGAAGGAAAAGGAAAGAGGGGCAAAAGGGCTACGAGACCTTTAGCATGAAGCCAATCCATGGAAGTAATCCTTGCATTTGTGTCTTGGAGTGTAAAAGAAAAGGAGGAATGCAATCTTGCTATGAAAAATGTGAAGTAGCCTGTGCATGCATGTGAAGGCCCCGAAAAGACTAAGGGGCCTGCGTCAAGGATGATGAATGAGATGCTTGAGACTCGATAGGTGCGTAGAGGCGAGGGGGAGGACGGTATCGTCGCACCCTGATGACGCCATAGAATTGCAATGCTTAGGAAAATGGTGCGCGACCAAAGGATGACGCTTAATCTGCGCACAAGAGAAGAGAAACTCTCAAAGAACCCTTGGACTGTCTGCGTATTGGAAGGAGCAATTGCTTGAGAACACAACCAAGAATCATAAAAAAAAAAAATCAGCGCTACGGAATGACCAGCGAGACCACCACCTAGCGTGAAGGCTGAGCTACATCCCCAATGTCAAAGCTCTCTCGCGCGATGACCCACCCCTATCCATCTCAAAACACTAGGTGGGGATGACCCTGGGACGAACGGCCCGCGCTCTGAACATGAGCGTGGGCGGGCCGAGCCAACTGGGACTCGCAGTGAGGTCGACTAAGGCTCGAAAGTCTACCGGGGTTTGGCCCTACAAAAAATGGTGGAGGTGACGAATAGGGGGTTAAACTGACCCTTGCGATTCCGAAGGGAGCATCCGACGCATTGACGTGTACACAACCAAAGATAAAGAAATTGGACTTGTGTTTGCTCTTTCCCTTGTGAGAATCAAATTTGAGAGTGGTTGGGCGCATGGCATGGCCAAGCCTGGAGGTATAACATGCATGCTATACACTTGATTAACCATCTCCTTGTGGAATGACTCTAGCCCTCCTTCATCCGGTGCTGGTGTTCGCCTGTCTGGGGAAGCCTTGGGCAAGTCGCAGGTCGACCCTTCCTCTTCGTGCGAAAAAAGGGCTCTGGTTACCTGACAGACGGTTGGTCCTTCAGCTTCGGCCGGAGTCCGATGAAAATCCCGTGGCGGAGTGATCTGACCGAATGGGTGCCCTTCTTTCTTCTTCTTGGGCTCATGCACCATACACATTGAAATGCTTGAAGAAACCAACATGAACACAATGGGTCATCAAGAAGAAACAATCTCTCCCTATAAAAGGACATACGAATGAAGAGAAAGGGAATGAAGGGAGTTGATAGACTCCAAGGAAAACTAACTCACCTTTGAAGATTATCGATGAGAAGGAATCAATCACTGTGTGTGGAAGTACGAGGAGTGACACTCATTGTCCTGAGAGAAAATTTGTGAGTCATGGGTAGGAAGCGCTGGGTGCACCAGAGAAAGACACTTTTATTATGTGTGTCCCACTTGGGACTTGTGACTTGCATGATGGGATTTAAGCATCTTGCCTTTCGGAAGAAAATGATGGGTCTGTACCGACTGGTGCAGGTTGTGAAACGTCGCTCTCTTTGAAGTTCGTCGGGTTTCGTGTGTGGAGGTTGGACCACCAAGCTGTCAAACGAGAGTCTGTCTGGCCGGTTGATTAGTAGCATTCTCACCCGGACGGTCCGAGCATGGCTCGATGATCTTGCCCAGGCGGGGTGCGAAATGTCTTCTTAGGCGGGGCTTAGCCTGTTGACTGGCGGGGGGAGTACCACTGGATGCGGGGCAAAGAGGGAACCTCGGAGACGATTAGTAACTTCCCGTAGCACGGCTTGAGAAAGACTGATTATTGTCGGACCGATGAAAGTGAATGCCCGGACGACTGACTATTGCTCCTAACGGGGTCCGCGGGGTGATTTCAGGTACCAACGAGGGTATGCAAGAGCGACAAAACGGGATGGGGTATTTTGGACGAATGAAGAGGAGTAACATCCTGTGCCGAAGCCTGGGTACCACGCTCGCAACGGTTAAGCTGCGCTTGAGGTATGAGATAAAACTCTGTCGATAGTACCAGTGGAGAGACCATATAGGGATAGGCCGTTAAGGAGATGACCGACCGGTATGTGAGATTGCCTGCTTTTTTTTATATATGTATTCCCCCTCTGTAATGGTTCAATGATCTTGGACTGTTGAACGGGGTATAATTCTAGTCTATTCTCACCTCCCCATCTAAGTCTACACGAGTGAGAGTTGATTGGAAGAAAGGAGGATAAAGGTCAGTCGGAAGGGAACTAAGAGAAAAAATGTTGGAAAATGGATGACCGACTGAGGGTACTATGGGAAGGTGGTACTTAGGAATGGGGAGGTAAATTAAGGAGACCTTGATGAAGAGTCTGAAATAATTCTCATCTAGGACGTGGGTTGACCTGACCGGAAAGGGCCGTTTGGTACTCTTTAATGAAAACAGGGGTCGGGTACTGGAAACAAGATGGTGCGGTGGTTGTCATCCCCGATCTATACCAGCAGTCCGAAAATGCCGGTAGATGTAAAGGATGGGGTATCGATTGTCCTCCCCGAAGATGGGACGTGGACTGATATTGAGCCAGCATATCAAACCATAATGCTGGAAGAGGAAAACGCTTTCCTATGGATAGAAACGGTATGGACCAAAGTCAGCTTGACGAGGTTGTCGCCAAGCTTAATGGATTTGGAGTTCCGAGGGACAATGGAAGCCCGGGGGTGGGTCTACTTGTCGCAAGATGGGGAAAATGCTATGGTCATAGAATTGGTGCAAGGGAATACGTCGGACGGCTTGTTTAGGAAGACAGAGAGAGAGGTTCTATGGACTGGATGTCAGCGGGCAGAAATGGAAATGGAAAGGGTAGATGTGCGAGTGGAACTCAGGGATAAAGAAAGCGTGAGGCGATCCGTCAGAACTATGTGATGTGTGTTGCCTCCCTTTCTGGTGGATGCGGTCTTCGAAACCCGGAGCAGGATAGTACGGATATGCCAGTCCATGACGACCCTCGGACTATACCAATGCGCCAGACATGACTTCTTCTGGTTGTCGGAAGAAATGGGGCCGTTTGGAGGAAACTGGGCGGAAGAGCTGACCGAGATATTGCATTGCCTTAGCATAGACAACGTCCTTGTCCAAAGCTCTGTGCATTGGAGGATAGTTTACAGAAATGTGGCAGTAGGGGAGACGTTCCTGGAAGGAATGAAGGAATTGTTCTACAACGAAGAGGACGACTTCAGCGACGAGGATGAAGGGGATGAGATAGAGGACTGAGACGTTTAAGGTGAATGACTTACTTAGGGGAACCGAGTGGCCTGGCGTTGTGCAAGAAGAGAGAAGATGACTAAAGAGGAATTGCTGATGGACTGCACTTTCAAGGGATGGCAACCAAGGCGACTCAAGGGGGGAATAAAAATGCCTATACCAACAGAAAACGAATGGAGAGGGACAACATGCGACTGGGTTGAGTTTGAAGTTGTCCCGGGACTATCATACGTATGGATAGAGCAGATTTGGAACCCAATAAGGAAAGAGGAAGGCTGGGATGAGATAGCGGAAGGAAAAGTGAAATTGGTCGGAACAGTCGTTCTTTCCGAGGACGGGTGGTGCCTATTCTGCACTATGATAACAACGGGACAGGATCCGTTGTGGCTTCTGGGGGATACGGAGGTGCAAACCCGAAAGGAGGGTGAGAGGTTTGCCAACAAAGGATGGGACGTAGTCAGTAGTAAAGTTGTGATGGGGGGATGGAAGGAACTCATGCCTCCCAGTCTGCGAACAATGGCTTGGGTGCCTGAGTTCGTAGCCGAGTGGTTTGGGGGTTTCAACCACATCTTAGAGGTGGCCGACTCCATGAAAGAAACGCATATAGAGTGTGCGTGGCTGACTGAGGAGTTCTATAAGACATCGTTGAAATATGGACCCTTCTAGCTCATCAAAAAAGTAGCTCCAAAATGCTATCTTCTAACTCATCGTGGCACAATCTTACCTAGTCCTTTCATCACTCATCCTTAGCAAGCTCACTCATACTATACACATTCTGTCGTTCTAATGTTTGCAAACGATAAAAAACACAGTTCTTGTTCAATACAGATAATATCTAGTCCCTATTGTTGTCACGTGTCTCATCTTGCTCGGCCCCTTGCCCATCTTGTATTTCTACTGGTTTTTAACTCCCATGCCGAAGACCATGATTTCTCTCTTTCTCTTCATAATTTCTTGCAATTCTAGCTCACTGTAAAAATCCAACGGCGTGACCGCCACTCCTGCCTCAACGAGTTCCCTAGTCTTGATAATCTAATCGTGCTTGATTACACTAAGCCATTGTTGAAACCAACGACAGGGCGTCAATCCAAAATCATCTTCCTATGTGAAGGCTTCTTCACGCGGCTGGTGTACCGGAGGTCGCCTCTCTTCTCTGGGCCTTGAGATTTCATCCCTTTCATCGCTACTGCTTATCTCGATAACCTCTTGCACTTCTTCCTCCTCGTTCACCTCTTCCTCCGTCCGTATGGGGCAGAACCCTCCCGTGAGTTTTTTTGGATCCAGCTTATAAGGAATCTCTGTTCTTCTCCCATCTCCTTCTTCAAAGTCCGGGTACCTCCCCTCACAACTGTCATGGCCGTTGCGTTCTTCACACGAGCTTTCCCTTCTCCCCTTCCCATCTTCTCGCTCGTTGCACATGCCATGTCCCCCCTCGCTGTCCCCTTGCCAAGGCTCATGCTGCTTGCATTGCTCGACCCCTCCCTCGTCAGAGGTCTGAGCCCTTTCTCCCATATCTGCTTTCTCTTCCTCGCTCTCACTCCCTGATGAGATGTATACCCCTTCCCCTTTTGTAAAAGACGAGGGTCCTCTACATACTTGTTTTCTCGCCCCCCTGCCTACTACAAGTTTGGACATGTACCCTATGTACAATTTTCTCTTTGTCGTCCTCCGACCACGACTTGGCTCTGCTCCTCCCCCTTCGCTAGGCCTGTTGATTGCCCCACTGCCATTTTTGTTGCCGAACTCTATTTTCGCTTTTCTAACGTTTCCTTTCTGATCCTGTATAACAAAACAACACCCGACAAACCCCTTATACATACGTTTCCCCAGTTTGGTAGGCAATTCTCCTTCCCGCACAATGCTCCCAGTATCCTTCGCACCAGACCACCATTATACACTCCCCTCCCATGCAGATGTCACGTTTGTAATGATCCCATTACTTTTCCCATAAAAAACTATGATACAATACTCCCCGCAACCTTCCCCCTCGTCACACAAAATCCGTTATCGCAAAGTCCCATGATATCCCACCTTCCAACTTTACTTAGTCCAAACCATTGCCCCATCCCCAAAAGAAAAATAACAGTCCCACAGACGCTGTCAGAGACAAAACCATAGTGTGATCAAGGCCGCTGTTAGTCCTTGGCGTGTAGCCCCTCAGTTTCCTTATCCTCGGCCTCTTGAAGCCATTGTTCCAATGGGTCCCGACTTAGAAACCTGACCAATCGTTGCACCGGGAAAGGTCCTTTCAATCCAGTTTCATCCAAATCTTCCAGTTCGAAGGTATTTAAGCCCACCTGCTTGGCGACCCGCTAGGGGCCTTTGAACCTCCTCCCCAGTTGCCCAGACCAAGTCTCACTAGTTCTTTGTCAAGTTCAAGCATGTGTTGATGTTCCGGTTCTTAATTAGTTGCTCTTCTACTCATGTGAGTGTCTTCCACTAAGTTCTTCGTCAGGTTCAAACATGTGTTGATGTTACGATTCACACTTCGTTGCTCTTCTACTCATGTGAATGCATTCCACGAGTTCTTTGTTAAGTTCAAGCATGTGTTGATGTTCTGATTCACACTTAGTTGCTCTTTTACTCATGTGAATGTGTTCCACTAGTTCAATCTTCACTTTCTCAAGTTCAAGCATGTGTTGACGTTTCGGTTCTTACTTAGTTGCTCTTCTACTCATGCGAATGTATTCCACAAGTTCTTTGTCTAGTTCAAGCATGTGTTGATGTTTCGGTTCTTACTTAGTTACTCTTCTACTCATGTGAGTGTGTTCCACTAGTTCTTTGTCAAGTTCAAGCATGTGCTAATGTTCCGATTCACACTAAGTTGGTCTTCTTCTCATGTGAGTGTATTCCACTAGTTCTTTGTCAAGATCAAGCATGTGTTGATGTTCCGATTCAGACTTAGTTGCTCTTCTACTCATGTGAATGTGTCCCACTAGTTCTTTGTCAAGTTCAAGCATGTGTTGATATTCCGATTCACACTTAGTTGCTCTTCTACTCATGTGAATGTGTTCCACTAATTATTTGTCAAGTTCAAATACGTGTTGATGTTCCGATTCACACTTAGTTACTCTTCTACTCATGTGAATGTGTTCCACAAATTCTTTGTCAAGTTCAAGCATGCGTTGATGTTCCGATTCACGCTTAGTTGCCCTCCTACTCATGTGAATATGTTTTACTAGTTTAAACTTCACTTTGTCAAGTTCGAGCATGTGTTGATGTTCCGAGTCACACTTAGTTGCTCTTCTACTCATGTGAATGTGTTCCACTAGTTCAATTTTCCCTTTGTCAAGTTCAAGCATGTGTTGATGTTCCGGTTCTCACTTTGTTGCTCTTCTACTCATGTGTGTTTATTCCACTAGTTCAATCTTCACTTTGTCAAGTTCAAGCATGTGTTGATGTTCCGGTTCTCACTTAGTTGCTCTTCTACTAATGTGTGAGTGTTCCACTAGTTCAATTTTCACTTTGTCAAGTTCAAGCATGTGTTGATGTGTCGCGCGAACCAGCATCCCGGACGGTTACCGCATTCAACTTCTGCAGATCTTGAATCTATCTCAGCGTCTTGTTAGACTTTCGAAATACGAACCACATGTTCGCATATGGTGACGCCGTAGGCTCCGCGACGAAGGAATCAATCTTTCCTCGAAGAAGGTCTGTCACTTCCCCTGCTATCCCAAATTCATAGGACGGCCCCTTGTCATTCCAGCACTTATGCTCTACCGTGTGGATTCTGACAGGGGGAATTAGCTTTGCGTCCAACCGCCAATTTTGATGATCACTAAAGGCAAATGCCAGATGAATCTCCTGACAGGCTCTTTTGATCAGGCGGGTTTCTTCTTCCGTTAAGAATCCGTCTATTCTTATCTTCATTGTATCAGCTACCTTATCTGGTATCCGATGCCCTATCGTCGCTCACCTCTCTCGGATTACTCGAAGGACTTTCTCCTCCTTCTCCATAGCCTCTTCCTTAGATGTCTCTGGCAGGATTGAGACTGGTTGCGCTTTCTTTCCTACTGGCTTGTACTTTCGAACACTTCCTTCCGGGTTGCTCTTGTTGCCTCCGCGACCCATGGTTGAATACTGACTATTTTCCCATTCAGACAATACCCCTTCTATACTTCCCCTTCAAATTTGGCCAGCGCCACCGGTTCCACTCTTACTTTGTGATACCTGATACCTTTGATGAGCTGCAATAGGTCGGGGATCTCGAGTGCGATTTTTGGTAACTCCTTCCACACCTCTCTCCGCCTGGGCAGACTGACTCCGAGTTCGACTTCTGACTCCCTTTCTGGCACCATAACACCTAAGACCTCGCCCTCATGCCTTCTCTTCCTCTAGGGCAGGCCCATCTTGATCCATTCTTTCTTATTTAATAATTCCTCAATCATAATCTCTACCCTTTCTCTCATACCCTCCATTCGTGCAAAGGACCCCTTTCGTGTGCTATCTTCAAACGACGGCCACCACGTTGCTAACTTCCCTTTAGGCGGGTCCCTTCTGGCCCAGATGAGTCGAGGGAGCTTCCCACGACCATTTACCGGATCCTCCAGGTCTACCATGTAGGTGCCATCATACAGATGCATCCCTATTATTTCTACATTGGTGCACCATGGTCTCCCGAGGATTATATCATGGTTCATCTCGTCTAGCACGGTCATCCGCTGAAATGACTAAATCGACTTTCTGATGCCTGCCTTGAATGCACACTTGGTGACGTATCCTGAAAACGGGATCTCGCTGCCAGCCCCTCGGATGCTCCCCATTACCTCCTTGTTAACTACTCGGCCGGTAACCGTTGCGAAATCTCTTCGTATGAGTGTGATTTCCACACCTCCGCCGACTAGCGCATCTGTGTAATGTGTTCCGATCTCCACTTTCAGCTTTCCTACTGGCAGCGCATGAAAACTGAGCTTTGTTCCTGGTGGAACCCTCATAACCTCGCCGCCTTCGTGGTCTGGCAAGCTCAGGCGGATGTTTGCAAAGACCTTCTCTAGATCCTCCAAATCCCCGGGACTCCATTGAAGATTAGCGACTCCTTGCGGAGCTTCCTCCTCCCTTTCCTCTTCCGGCGTTTTGAGGTTTTCGTCTATCTCTACTCGTCGTTGAGTCAACAGTTGCCTAAGCCCTTTGAGCAACCTGGGGTTGGCCTGCAACATGGTCTGAAACGATACTGACACAATGGTTCCTAGCAATTTGCTAAGGGTGTCATTGATCTCATGCATGGTTAGGATCGGGATTTGATACCTGAACTTTTTCTTAACAGCAGTGACCTTGTCTGTAGGTTTCTCTTCCCTAGGCTTCCCATAGATTTTCTCGGGCACCCCGGCCTCGGGCTCTGCCTGGGGTGCAGAACCTCCAGCAACCTCCTTCATCACGGTGTCACGGATAATCCTTCTTCCAACCGTCCCAAGTTGAGTGATCGCGTTCACCCTATCACGTCCATCGCCTTCCAAAATGAAATTGACCTGCGATCCGCGGCCCCGGAGTTGGTCCCAGATGATATCGACCACTGGCTTAGCCTCTACTGCTGCTATCTCTAACCCATTGAGGAAGATAATGGCGCGCTGCATTCCCCCTGACGAGTTTCAATTCACCCGTTCTCCCTGTGACCCGAATATCTCCCCCTTTAATGATCTGGTACATCTCCTTTTTAGTATATTGTGGTTGAACTTTGGACATGTACGCACAAAATATCCTACCGCGATGCAATACATGCATTGTTCATTAGCGGGATCTCTCCGACTGAATCCTCGGTTAGCCATTCTTGCCTGGACTACGGCTTCTTGGGGAGGGAGGGCGAGTCGGGATACTTACGCCTGCATAACCATCAGCGCGTTCTCCACCCTTTCAATCTTATTGTCGACTCCGTGCACGCGTTTATGTAGACTTTCAATCCCCCTCTTTACCTTATCGCCTGTCCTACCGGTCAGATCTATGACTTCCCCTTCCTTAAGCAAGGCCAATATCTCGGTTACTACTGTCTTCTCGGCCAGATCCGTTACCGTACTAAAATCAACATCCCTGGTGTTTACAAACTTGCTCGTCTGTTGGTAGACCGACAGGATCTTGTCCTTGTCGAACTCGGAGAACTGCCTGAGGAAGTACTTGCTCATTATCCGGTCTGTAACCCCTGGGATCCGTAGTGCTACCAGGGTAAACTTTTGTAGGAAGTCGTTGTATGTTGCAAAGTTCCTCCTTTGAACTGCCGCTAAGTCGGCCTTCGTTGTCATTTTCTCCGCTGCCAGGTACTTCCTCATCATTACATCCCGGGTTTCCTTCCAAGATCGACTCGCCACTACGATGACCATTATGTCCCGTTCCAGACTCAATGACAAATGCTGTTCTAGATGGTTCATCTTTTCTTCTTCAGTCCACTTCAACAACGCAGCTAGGTTCTTGTAATCTATTAGGAACTCCGTGATGTTTGCCCTATCAAATGTCAACTTTTTTCTTAGCGTCCGCGAGGTAGCCCTGGTTTTTGTTAAGTGCTCGTGCGGGGGACGACACTATCTTCTTGAGACCACAAGCGGTTATCGGGTAGCTGAAAATTCAGGAATGAAAATTTTGAAGTGAGAGTTTTGGGCAGTCTGAAAATCCTGAATGGTCCGGAAGTGGAGAAAGGTCCGAAGACCCTGAAAACCACCTGTTTAGGCAGGCCGCATCCTGAAGTGGTGAAGGGTGTCCTGAAGTGGTCAAGTGAGAGTTTTTGGCAGTCTGAAAATCCTGAATGGTCCTGAAGTGGTGAAAGGTCCGAAGACCATGAAAACCACCCTTTACCACTTTAGGATGCAGCCTGCCTAAACAAGTGGTTTTTAGGGTCTTCAGAGCTTTCACCACTTCATGACCATTCAGGATTTTCAGACTTGAATGGTCCTGAAGTGGTGAAAGGTCCGAAGACCCTGAAAACCACCTGTTTACGCAGGCTGCATCCTGAAGTGGTGAAAGGTCTGAAGACCCTGAAAACCACTTGTTTAGGCAGGTTGCATCCTGAAGTTGTGAAGGGTGTCCCGAAGTGGTGATGAAAAATACGACTGTTGTTAACCTTCTCTCCCTGAGATCGCCTTTGGAGCTACTGGCCTCGCCTACCGTACTGGTATCTTGCCCTTCCTTGTCCGCTCTCTGTCCATCTCTAGTCTTTGCAGTCCCTTCCGGGTCGAACCATCCCAACACCCTTTTTCTAAGGCTCCAGAGTCCTTCACACCCTCGCATTACCGCTGGCATGGCCGACAGACGCTAACCCTGCTATTTATGGCTGGCGGATTTGTAGCTTTCTCCGCTTCCATCCCAGGGGAGTTTTCTCTCTCCTTCCTCCTCTTGCTTGGTGTCCTACGGGTAGCGCATGAAAACTGAGCTTTGTCCCTGGTGGAACCCTCATAACCTCGTTGCCTTCACGGTCTGGCAAGCTCAGGCGGACGTCTGCAAATGCCTTCTCTAGATCCTCCAAATCCCCGGGATTCCTTTGAACATTAGCGACTTATTGCGGAACTTTCCCCCCCTTTTCCTCTTCCGACGCTTCGGGGTTTTCGTCTATCTCTACTCGTCACCGAGTCAACAGTTGCCTAAACCCTTTGAGCAACCTGGGGTTGGCCTGCAACGTGGTCTGAAACGATAATGACACCATGGTTCCTAGCAATTTGCTAAGGGTGTCATCGACATGGTTAAGATCGGGATTTGATACCTGAAGTTTTTCTTAGCAGCAGTGACCTTGTCTGTAGGCTCCTCTTCCCTAGGCTTCCCATAGACTTTCTCGGGCTCCCCGGCCTCGGGCTCTGCCTGGGGCGAGGAGCCTCCAGCAACCTACTTCATCACGGTGTCACGGATAATCCTTCTTCCAGCCGTCCCAAGTTGAGTGGTCGCGTTCACCCTATCACGTCCGTTTGCCTTCCAAAATGAAATTAACCTGCGGCCCGCGGCCCTGGAGTTGGTCCCAGATGATATCGACCACTGACTTAGCCTCTACTGCTGCTATCTCTAACCCATTGAGCAACATAATGGCGCGTCGCATTCCCCCTGACGAGTTTCAATTCACCCGTTCTTCCTATAACCCGAATATCTCCCCCTTTAATGATCTTGTACATCTCCGTTTTAGTATATCGTGGTTGAGCTTTGGACATGTACGCACAAAATATCCTACCACGGTGCAGTACATGCATTGTTCATTAGCGGGATCTCTCCGACCGAATCCTCGGTTAGCCATTCTTGCCTGGACTACGGCTTCTTGGGGAGGGAGGGCGAGTCGGGATACTTACGCCTGCATAACCATCAGCGCGTTCTCCACCCTTTCAATCTTATTGTCAACTCCGTGCATGCGTTTATGTAGACTTTCAATCCCCCTCTTTACCTTGTCGCCTGTCCTACCGGTCAGATCTATGACTTCCCCTTCCTTAAGCAAGGCCAGTGTCTCGGTTACTACTGTCTTCTCGGCTAGATCCATTACCATACTAAAATCAACATCCCTGGTGCTTACAAACTTGCTCGTCTGTTGGTAGGCGGACAGGATCTTGTCTTTGTCGAACTCGGAGAATTGCCTGAGGAAGTACTTGCTCATTATCCGGTCTGTAACCCCTGGGATCCGTAGTGCTACCAGGGTAAACTTTTGTAGGAAGTCGTTGTACGTTGCAAAGGTCCTTCTTTGAACTGCCACTAAGTCGGCCTTTGTTGTCATTTTCTCCGCTGCCAGGTACTTCCTCATCATTACATCCCGGGTTTTCTTCCAAGATTGACTCGCCACTACGATGGCCATTATGTCCCGTTCCAGACTCAACAACAGATGTTGTTCTAGATGGTTCATCTTTTCTTCTTCAGTCCACTTCAACAACGCAGCTAGGTTCTCGTAATCTATTAGGAACTCCGTGATGTTTGCCCCGTCAAATGTCAACTTTTTTTTAGCGTCCGGGAGGTAGCCCTGGTTTTTGTTAAGTGCTCGCACGAGAGACTCCTCCAAGTTCCTTAAGGCCCTACCAATAGTTTTCACCCCCTCCGTCACTCCTTCGGCCAACTTGCTCAATCTTGCTCCTAACTCGGTATGCTCCTCGGTTCGCCCCATGACAGCGGACTTAGGAGATCGGGCGACCCCGTGCTCAACCACACTTTCCATGCACAAATTTCTAGTTGCTTTCCTCCCTAGAGTCATTCTCTTGGTCTTCTGCCTCGTTACTCTCTTCCGAGCCTCTTCCTCCCTCACTTGCTCCTCGTTCCTCCCTATCACCCTCGCATTCTTCACTAGTCACAGTCCACCAAGAGTCACACACTTTTTTCTCCTCGTAAGTGGCTAGCGCAGGGTTGGCAATCTCCAGATCTGAGACGCCCCTAACCCCTTCCTGCGAGCACCGTCTAATTAGGTCTCTATTTACTTCTCCGAACTGTCTCGAGAACAGGGGTTTGATGAAGTCCCCGACTAAAGTCCAGCACTCGAAGTCCGTAAACTCTAGAGATTCCCAGCACAGGGTGAACAATTCGTGCCCTTTTTCTTCCCCTAGGGGGAACTTTTCAATTATTTGCCCTCTAATTTGGACCTTCCTTACTGTGGCGTCATCGGGATAGAGCAAACGGTAGGCCCAAGCGGGAACTTCCCAGGTCCAACCGTAGGCTGCCCGCGGGACTTCCCCCCTCCCCCGGTACTCAACCTTATCCACTATACGCCCTTCCTCTCAATCTCTCAAGTCAGTCCTGAGCTTTCCCCGCGATACGCAGCGGGTCCTTTCCTCCCGCTAACTTGGTAGCAAGGAACTGCCTATCGCCGTGAGACAAGAAGATCTCGGCCCTTCACGTGTGGACACCTTCCCTTGAGACTACAGAAAACCGAACTAGCGTTTCTTGCCTGTAGATTTCGAAGAACTCCGTAATAACTTCCCCTTCCTCCTCAACCTTTGGGAGAGTCACTCCATACCTAGATCATGACTTCCAAACCCTTTCTAAGGTCCCGACAAGGCTCCCCCTGTCGTATCTAATCATTGACAGGCTTACCTTACCCGAGCCAATCTTTCTGCGGCCTTGACTAGCGAGTCCTCACACCTCTCTCGAGAGCCTTCGCCTTGATCGAGTATCGTCCGATGTAAAGCTTTCTAGTACTCTCCCGTCCTATCCCAGAAACACGCCTCGACTAGGTGCACCCTAACTTCGGAGGGATTCCCGAGCCACCTAGAGTCCTCCTCAAACCTCCTCTCGACCTCAGTTAAGGTTTCCTTCCAAGTTCTAGAGAACCGAACCCTTATCGCCTTTTTAATGAAGACCGAAAACCTAGCTAAGGTGGTCCTGGACCTCCTTTTCTACAAGGTTAGGCGTCGAACTTTGGCGAGGAACTCCTTTTTGGCTCGCGCTACTTGGTCTTCCCCAAGACCCGGGCTAAGCTCCGCTCCTCCCCTCCCCTTATTGACTTCAGGCCCGTCGTCTCGCGTCTCCAACTCCCACGTTATTGAGTTAGAGGCATAGGTAGTTCTCATGCCGTTCCCCCCTCTCGAAGCAGCCCGTCCGTTAGCTCATCTAGGATCCTAATCGTGACCGCCTCAAGCAACTTGATCCTTCGCAAGGATCCCTGCCCAACTCTCCTCTCCTCCTCCCAACAAAGGGTCAGGATTCTATATACCTCTGCCCTTACCCTCTCTAGCCCCACCAGCTCTCTGGTGTCCGGCTCACTCATGCCCCAAGTCCCTTCGCCGACACGCAATTGCTATTTGTATGAGA